CCTCTCTAGGGAGGGAGTTCCAAAGCTTGGGAGCAGCCACTGAGAAGGGTGGTGAGACAGAGAGAAGAGCCTCTCCCGATGATCTCAATACTCTGGGGGGCTTGTACAAAATGATATGGCCCTTCAAATAGCCTGGACCCAAGCCATATAGGGCTTTGGACATGCAGGCATATGTATTAAGAGAGCTTACATCTGAAGAAACACCTTGGTTGTTCAAGATACCTCTTTGGGTGTGGATGTTCTTTGCAAGAATATCTTACATCAAAAAAAAATAATCTCAGAAATGTCCGCTGCACATCCATCAGGGAATGTTTGGATGTCTGGATGCAGTTCTGGTGCTTTGAAGAAGACTAGCTTGTGTGGTCCCAAGAACCTCTCCCCATGTTCATTGGAGATCACCTAGTGAGTTGTTTAATACAGTGGTAAGTAGAGCCTGGATCTTCCAAATCATAGTTGAACATTCTACCATACACCAAACTTGCAGTCACACCACACCTGTGCTTAGAAGAAAGGGGCACTAAGTAAGGAGACACTTATATCTTCACTCCCCAGCCATGTTTGGGAGAGAAATCCATCACCACAACATGGCTAGAAGATTTTGGGTGGATTTCTTTGATACCAACATGATTATTTATTCCTAAAAGTCACTGTAGAATGAAGTGGTGCTCCAGTCCAGAAAAGGCTGGGAAATAAAGAAGTGAGTGATTCTTACCAGGAGTTCTCTTTCTAATAAGAATTGACTCCAAACATTCTTATTATTAATTGACAAATGAAAAATAGTTTTATACACTCACACATTAAATTTAACATGTAGTTTGGCCCTAATACTCTGATGTTTTCTGCCATTTGTGGATATTACAGTTTTTGACTAATAGGAAGGTGTGTTATTGTCTTCAATACCCATCAACCCCAACAAGCATAGCCAATGATGAGGAAAGGTGGGAGCTGCAGTTCAACATCTGGAGAGCTACATGTTTCTTATTTCTGGCATCAAAATATAATGAAGATGTTATTATTAGGTATATGCACACATATAATTTTATCCTACATCCTAGCAAACTTTTAACTGATGGAATTTAAACATGCTTTGTTCTAGCAATTTTCTGGAAGTTCAGTTAAATTAATAGCCAGATGGGACATCACATCCATTAAATAAACAGAATTGATGCAATATGGTTGGAAGAAACTTATGAATTCTCTTTCCCCTCATTATATAGATAGGGATTCCTATTTAGGTCTCTCACTAAGACTAACTATATATCTCACAAGATTCTAAGCATATCTTTTAAAATGTTTTTGTATGTGGGGAGCCCTTTGTAAAACGTATCACGTAGAACTCATGGGTTCTACATATGCTGACTGGTTCTGCTGTAGCCAACTTTCCTTTTCAGTTTTCTTCAGTTAAACTCCTGTACTCCTATCTGTCTCTGGCTTCTACTTCACCATGAGCAACTGAAGAAGTAGGCTAAA